GACCGGGTCTTCTTCTCGTGAATCTACGCCCGGTCAGGTTCCCAACTCTTCCATTCCCGACCCGCATCCTGTAAATCAGGTGCCCGGTGAAACCTTCGTGGGGAGGGATGACCCGGTTGATGACGAACCGGGTCCCTATGATCCCGAACACGAAACCCGGGATGCGTGGGAGGCGCGGCTTCACGCTGCCGGTTACTTTCCGCTTCCCACTTTCTATGTCCTTGACATACCTTCCTGTGTGTCCAAAATTGCTTTAAATAAAATCCGTAGGAGGCTCCCGGATGGGTATACCCTCCTCTACGAACCCAACTGGCCCAACATCGTTGAACCCCACCGGGAGGATAGGATAGGGTTCCATACCATTTCCCTGGACGCGGGCATAGTTTTTCCCTTTCGCCCCCTCCTTACTGAGGTTTGCCATGCGTTTAGGATTCTGCCCGGCCAAATAACTCCTAACGCCCACCGGTACCTTCACTCCTTTGTAAATATCTGTACCCATCTCAAAATCTTCCCTTCTTTGCGTCTTTTCCTTTTTTGCTTCGAAGTCTTACCGGGCGGATCCGGCTGCGAAGGCTTTGTATTCTTCAAAGCCCGTACCGGTAGGAAGTTCATTTCCGAAGTCCCCCAGAGTAACCGGGGATGGAAGGAAAAATTTGTCTTCATCGAGTTTCCCCCCTTCTTCACTCCTCGACCAAGAGTATACTGCACCGGCTTCCTCCCCAGACTTGGAGGCGAATCTTGAGGTCCTCATGCGTGGGGATCCTTTCACCAGGAGGACGTTTCATTATGGCAGCTGGGTTTGGAGGGTCGACTCGGGTGGCGAGGGTACCTCCCCGGCCCATGATGCAGCGGGGCGCGGGGTACCCTCCCCGGGCAACACTGCGGAGGCTGAGGGCAACTTCCACCCAGGTATTTTTCATTTTTTTTTTGTGATTCGCAGTTGACCGGCCAAAGTATTCGTACTTAATGGTTTTAGTTTGTTTTGCAAATATGGAGTTCGAAGAGTTCGCCATCCCCGAGGATCAACCAGCAGGGGAGACCGGGGGCTCCCAAACCAACACTGCCAGGACCTTCCCGGTCAATCCAGAGACCGTGGAAATCCTTGACGAAGAGGAGCCCCAAGAAGACCGGTCTAAGGGGAAGGAGAAGGAGAAGACCGGTCGCCAGGTGAAGAAGGTGGCCACCACGCACCCCTTCTATGCCAAGAAGAGGGCCCGGTCAGATCCTGAGCCGGCCGGCCAGACCATCGAAGAGGCCTTCGTCAACCTGGGGCTGAGGCTGAAGGAGGTAAGTTCTGCTGCTATCCCGGTCTTGATCCTTTGTCGTTGTTATCCCATTCTCACCGGGCTTTTTCTTCCTTTTGTGCAGGCGGGGGAGATTGGACCCTCTACAGCTGACCGGCTTGGCTTAGGCTCTCCCTCCGAGTTTGCCCGGCTGAAGAAGGAGAAGGAGGAGATGGCCCTCCTTCTGAGGAGCCAGGCTGAAGAGCTGATCCGGCTGTCTGGGCTGGCCGGGGCAATGAAGACTGAGATCTCCCAACTGAAAGAGGAGAATGGCCGGCTTCTGGACGAAGTCTCTGAAGCCAAGAGGGAACTGGCGGAGAAGGAAGAAACCTTCCCCGGGCGCGCAGCTGCCTTAGTGGAAGAGAATAAGGCTGAAGCTGCCCGGGTGATGACGGCTAGCCCGGAAGCGACCATGGAATCCTTCAGGCTCTTGTACCGGGAGCCTGAAGGAAAGAAGATGATTACCGCTATTGGGTCCTTTGGATTCAAGAGTGGTCAGAAGAAGGACCGGGCTGCCTGCCACCGGATTTTGAAGAAAAGAGACCCAGAGTTCTCCGCAGCTTCTTACGGCCTGGCATCCATCCCGGAGGAAGGGCCTACTCCCCCCTTTCCCCTAGATTAAGAACTCCCCGGCCTTGACCGGTTGCTTTGTAAACTTAAAACTCGTTTCCCCGGGAATGCCCGGTGTAAATGTAAAACATTTAACATTCTTATTTCGTTTGAATGCCATGTTTTCTTTTCGTACCGGTTAATCTTCCACTTCTGATTGCTTGTTTGATTTACTTTTTTGATCTTGCTCCTTAGAATACCATCGTAGAACTTCTGACCGGTATATAAATTAGGCCACTTCTCAATTGTTTTCGACCGGTGGAACTTCCAAGTTCTTGATCACTTTATTTGAAAGTTCAGCTCGAGTGACTTTGACCGGTTAACTCCAACTTGATGGTCACTTTGAAAAATGTTTGACCGGCTGGATTTCAACCTGTTTTTGAACACCTTTGTTCTTGTTTTGAAAGTGAGGCGCAATTTGACCGGTAGGTCCCTTCTCCACGGTCTGACCGGTGAACTGCTTCGCCTTGTGGAACTTTCGAAGTTCCGCTGTACCAATACCCAACCGGGGTATTTCTTTTTTTTTTTTGACCGGTAGGTTATAGATGGAGCACCTGTAACCTAGTAATTTCTTGAAGTATCCTTAACCGGTAAGAATACTGGAGATTTAACCATGTTCGAATGGTTTCGAACCCTCTCCAAGGTTCAAATGCACCCTTCTTCCAGGGCCCCCTCTTCCGGGTGATTAAGTCTTTTAATGGCCCTTTGATTTCTACCATCCCGGGAAGGCCTTAGCTCACCCCCCCGTTCAAGTCTTCCCTGAGAAGGGGGACATAGGATGCGCCACGGTGGACGATCCCCTTCTATTTCTTTTAATGGGCATCTTTTTAGTTCCCAATCAATTTGACGGC